TTGGGGGATCGCCCCTAACCCCCCCCAGCTTCTCCCCTTGAAAATTTAAAAAAAAAAAAAAAAAAAAAAAGCCCACTGGTTTACTTCTAAATATTCTCACCTCAAAAACTAAACCTAATTTCATTCCTTTCCTACAACATCCTGACATAATTTAATAAACTCCTATTTTTGTCCAGAAGGATGAGATCTGATAACTCTGAGGTTCTGACATGTTATATGTTGACTTTATCTGCAATGTACAGCGACACAGGAGCTCAAGCTTCATAAATTTTCCTTTTTTTTTATGTGTTGAGAACATTTGAAACAATATTTAAAAAATGACAAGAACTCAATATATGTCTAAACAGAAGCGTAAAAAGAAATCCATAAAACGTAACCGTGTTTGTGAAAACGTGGGCATGCTTGAGTGTGTTAGAACATTTGAAGGAGTGTCTCAGGAACACGCAGGATGACAAACTCGTGTGCTGCAGAAATCACAGAGGCTATTCGACAGGCTTGAGTCATTTAAAATGAATATTAACACCCAAGCATTGGTAACTTTGAATATTTCAAATATGATATACTAAATTAATAATCACTTAAGTGTTAAATGCAGCGGGTCTGAGGCACATTAAGAAATATTATCAATTCAAACTTGTCCATTCTGCTTTGCTTTCACCTCTGCGCCACCATCTGCTCAGCTTAATGTGGCGCAAAGTGTGCCAAAAAACAGAGGCCTGCTAAGGAAAGCCTAAAGATATTTCCACATGTCAAACCCTGCTGCTGGATGTCTGCTGTCATGGTTACTGACCTGTTTCCACCTCTGCGATGTCAATGAAATGATCCTCAGACGCGGAGGCCAACATCTTCCCGTCATTGCTGAAGCTCAGCGTCCTCACTGGCCAGTCCAGTCTGCAGCGTGAGCAGCAAGAAAATAAAGAGCCCACATTCATCCAGACGTTTCTCTGAGGGCAAATGGTTTGGAGAAAGAGGAACACAGACTGACCTGGAGAAGCAGCGGACACACACCAGCTCCTCCACGTCCCACAGACTAACGAGAGCGTCAGCGCTTCCTGTGGCAAAGTATTTCCCCGTGGGGTCGAACTTGATGCATATGCAGTTGGACGGGTGAGCGTTGATGGACTGGATGGGCTTCAGATCCGGATAACTGAACACAAAACACTGATCATTTCAGATCTGAAGCACAGAAAAAAAAAAAAAAAAAAAAAAAAAAAAAAAAAAAAAAATTTTTCTCACAAAATTCAAAAACTCCTCC